ACCCCAGGATACCCAGAGCAGTCATCTGCTCCCCTCCTGGAATCTGTGTTTAGCCCACATCCCTGTGTTTAAACTGTAAAGGATCAGAGAGACCGGCCGCCCAGGCAGAGCAGGCACCAGGCCTGCAGTAGGCACTCGAGAGAGGTATTGGGTAGAGTCCATGACAAATAGGTGAATATTGCTTCCTGTGATCTTTTTTAGCCTAACTTTATTCTAAATAGCCCAGTAACACCTCAACTCCATTTCTGATTGACCTGCCATTCGACTTACCTAGAAAGAGTGTGGCATAAGATTATTAATTTTCAGCACAGGAGAAGGAAACAGTTTGCCGGTGTGGTTGAAGGCAGGGAGGCAGGAGTCGACAGAGGTGGTTGCTGCTGCAGAAACGGTCTGCTGCCCACCGTCATCAAGAGTCAGGGAGACTTGGAGCTCATGGAGGACAGCTGCCCGAGATAACAGTCAGTCTGGGAATGGGGTCATGTTACTGCCACCGTCTTCATGTGAGGGGATGCTTGCTGAGGCCTCAGACACGCATTTTACAGTGCTCGGCAAAATGCCTCCCTGTGGTCCAGAGACGTCAGCCGGTCCAGACAGGGGATGCTCTACAGAGTCAGCCTCACTGCCTGCAGAGTGTGAGGCGGCTGCCTTGAACAGGTCTCTGTGGGAATGGGCAGAGGCAGGGGAACGTGCTTGGGCCCATCTCCCATGGTGGCTGTTGATGTGCGGTTGAGAAAACAACAAATTAAAATAATCGTGAATTTGCTTGGGCAGTTCCCAAGTGTCTGAATGGGCCTGGGCATCTCTGGAGAAACCTGTTTAAGACTGCACTTAGTAATGCAGATTTGCCCGGGCTTGTGGGCAAGGAGAGATGTGTGCCCATCCTGGCACATGAAGGCCACTGGACCTACCCCGTAAAACCAGGGGCACATTGCCCTTAAAGGAAGCAGAGTGTTCTCTATGTTCACTAAAGATGAAATGGAGGACATTTCTTTTTCACTTTATTTTTTCAGGACTAGTGTTTGAAAAGGCTTTTGCCCAGAGCTACATCTCCAGAACCCTGTTACTTGCTAAGTTGCCAAGTTGCCCAGACTGTGCTCAAACTTGCAGTTCTCCTGCCTCAGCCTCCTAGAGTGCTGAAATTGCAGGCATGGGCCACCATGAACAGCTTTGGAAGAAAAAAAATAAACAGACCCTACTCAGCCATAGATATCTCAGGTTAAAGCACAGAAAACGTCTTTGAATACGCTCACACAAGCTAAGTGCAGCAAAACAAGAATAATCTTACAAACACCATGCTGTGAAGCAGGCCTCACACACTGCATCCGCAGCTGTGCGAAGTTCTAAGTTGGGAGAATATCCGTGGTGAGGAGTCAGAACAGTACTGCCTCAGATACCGGTGGGGGGAGCAGGCGGGTCGACAGCGAGGCCCTCTGAGGACAGGACTTTGGGCATGGAGACACAACACCCAGTGCCACCCTCCCCTCCCAAACTGCTGTCCCTGAAGCTGCAGCCACCAAGTTCACACCATGACACACCAGGCCACATGCCAGGTGCAGCTGCTGAGGCCCATGCCTTCAAAGTGCACCCACAACTAGCGGAGTAGACATGACAGAGCACGTGCGGTGAATGCTGAGGTCAGGTGTCTGCAGAACAACCCTCTCACGTCCTAGACACCGGTAACTCTCCTTAATAAAACCCGAGCATGAAAGCCCAGTGCTCTGCTGACCTGAGCAGTGGGACCTACTGTCTGTGATTCAGTGGAATTGTCTCCAGCTTTGCAGAGTTCCACAAGCAATCAGCAAGCACTGCAGCGCTGGACACAAACACTAACTGCTTTTGCAGTGAATCGACCTAAAATATATCAAGGTTGTCACTGAATAAATTATTTAAATACCAAGTCCTAAATGTCTATCTATATGAAATTCTTGAAGTACAAGACATTCCTTTTCCTTTCTTTATATATTTTCTGGTCTGATAAATACTATTGTATGGGCAGAGTAGGTGTGTTTAGTGGCCAGAAGTTAAGTTAGCTTCATGCAGAGCCAAGCACCCTACTTCAGACACTAACAGGGCCATGTGCCTTCACTGAGTTCCCCTAGTATTTGTGGGATTCATGGTTACATCACTGCCACATTCTCAACAGCTAACTTTTTTTGAGGGGGAACCGGGGATCAAACTCAGTATCTTGTGCTTGCAAGGCAGGCACAGTGCCACTGAGCTAAATCCCTGGCACAGCTAACTTAGATAAAGGAAAGTTGAGTGGTCTCATCCAGCCCTCAGCCTCCTCGGCGCTCTGGTACCCAGCGTGATGCTCTATCCTCCTGTGTGAGCAAATCCTGACCTGGCTCAGAGGGGATCCTATGTTGCAGCAGGAGGAAGGGGCCGAGCCGATTTACCCTGGCTTAATTGCTTTGGACAGTTCTGTTTTAAATCTGCCTAAGTAGTTTGCAATCAGTTTTTAAATAATTTGATTTGTATTCATGATCTCAAATTTAAGTTTTCTCATACTGTAGGTTTATATCAGGTTTTTATATGTAGGTATATTTTTTTATGCTTTGATGGGGGAATCTAAACCCACCCTTCCTTAAGGTGCTGGAAAAGAGCTGTGGGGGCGCTCCCAGCCAGGTCCTCGTCCTCTGAGATGAGCCCTCTGCGCTGCAGCAACCAGCCCTCGTGTCCATCCTGGGTGTCGCTGGTCTGCTGCAGTCTCCTCTGGGTGGGTGGGAAGAGGAGCAGCAGGTGCACCGTGACTTCCTGTGGAAATGCACGATGAGCTCAGATGCCCTCGAGGTGCCTTTGTCACCTCAGCATCTCCTGCTTCCATGGGGACAGAGCTGTCGGGCAGCTGCACATTTAGGTTTCTTTGCAATTTTCTTTTCACCACTATTAAAAAGGTAAGCAACAAGCAACATCTCACATGCAGCTTTTTGTATATTTGTGTCTGTTTCCTTATAACAAACTTTTTGAAATGGAATATCCTGATGTGGAATTTACCTGCACATTTACCTGTTTGCAAAAGTTGTCCAGCTGCTTGCCAGAGTGCTTTCTGAGTTGACGTTCCCATTAATAATGAGCACTGTTTCTATTCTTTTCCAAATACTATACCCTTTTTCTGCATGTTAAAGCAATTCATCGTAAGTGTGGACAGTGCAGGGCCATACATATTCATAAAAATAATTTAGGTGCTTAGCATTTTTTATAAGTGAATGAAAGCATAAGTATAGTCTTTAAAATTAGTTTTTAATCTTAAGCAGCACATTTTGCTGACTTTATGTACTCATCGGTTTGATAATAAAAACTGGTTCAGTGGAGAGAAACCTGCAAGATGGTGCTGTGGGTCATCCTCAGAAAAGCAAGTGTCTCTTGTCCTCACCAAAGCTGAAATGTGCTCCCTGGCTGACTCCCAGCCTGTCCGGACTCAGTGACCGGCACCACAGCTGCTCAATGAGGAGAGAGGGGAGTCCTCTGTCAGCGAGGGAAGCAGCTTTTGTCCAAGGTGCATGGCTGAGAAGCTGCGTGCTTTACCTGCATCCTGCTGCTGTCGTGAGCTCGTTGTCACTGGCAGGTCCACCCCACCCAGTCCTGTCTGCATTCCCAGCAATGGGAAGAATCATGGAGCCTTTCTGCCGCTGCAGACAGGGACTCGGTATTGTCAGCACCACAGTTCCCATGTGTGAGGCTGACTTTGAGAACCCTGAAGAGAAGAGAGGGGAAGCCCCACAGAGACAAAGAGGATGTGGGATTGCCCCGTGGTTTGTGTTATGCAAATGCCTGATTAGATGGTGTCTGGCCCTGTGCAAGAACAGATGGATGCTGTTCTCAGAATAATTCCCATGGGGAGGGAGAACAGAGGCCTGTAAACCCAGCACCCCTTTGCTGGTGGACCGAGGAAAGTGCCAGGACAGTGCCAACTTTGGCCACGCTTTGTGCTCCACGCTCTGGCTCCTGTGTTTGTCATGAGCAACTGTGGACAAGGAGGGACTGGCCAGGTCTTCCCCCCACATCAAAGCCAGGGGCCATGTGTCATCACTCTGTGACAATTTGGGTTCAGAGTGTGGGCCCTTGGCAGGCTCCCTGCTTCTAGAGCCCGAGTGTCATGATTGGTTGCTTACCAAAACACGTCCATCGCTCATGAGCCAGGTTGTAGGGGTCACTTGGTTGCAACCCTTTCCTTCACTGCTAAATGGGGACCATGTACGGAGTACTGTCTCTACTGAACTTTATCCTCGATTAAAATGTCCTCTGGGATTAAGTCTCACATCTTGAACCGTCATGGAGTAAAGGGTGTCAGGGCTGCATGGTGGCGGTGACACGGCCACCGCACCTGCCCCTGCGCTTCGTGGGTGCCTCAGGCTGGCACACGGAGGGATCTGCTGGCTCTCATGAGCTGAGTGATTATCTGTGATGCTTTGAATACCCTAACTGTTCCATGATCAGACCTTTGCTTTGTTCTTTGATGTGGGTGTTTGGAAGAATACTCTAAATCTCTCTAAAGCTGGGTTTTTCAATTTCATAATTTGTCATTGATTTTAGGTAAACAATTTTGTGGTCAGAAAATACCAAATGCTGCCTGTGTGTGCTGTGCTCATAAACACCCCTTGCGTGATGATGTGACATGCTACATGCTGCAGAGTAAAATGCACAGTTATTAATTCAACTTTGTAATTATATAATCTAAATACCTCATATTTACTTTTTGTTGACCAGGCCTCCTATAGATTTAATCGCGTTCCTTGGTTTTTCATCTATTCTCCCTTGAATTTTTACCATATTCCCCTTGTGTATTTTAATATAATGCAATCCCACACATACAGAGACAATCTTTTTCTTTTGAATTACACCTAATATAAACAGTCTTTTAACACATTGGCACTGAGGTGTTCCTTGATCAAAATTAGCATTAGGAGTCACTACAGCTCACGGAGTTAGTGAGTATTGTTTTCCTCCAGTTTTGCCACTCACACTTCACACTGTATGTCTTTTCCTTAATTCCAGTTTGCCAAGGCACAAGTAACAAGCTCACCCAGCTGGGCACCTTTGAGGACCACTTTCTGAGCCTTCAGCGGATGTTCAACAACTGTGAGGTGGTCCTTGGGAACCTGGAGGTCACCTACGTGCAAAGGAATTATGACCTTTCCTTCCTGAAGGTCAGTGCAGTGGATCTGGCTGCCCAAATGCAACAGAAGTGTATATAAGCGAGAGAGCTTTGGCGGGATGTACCTGAGTTGTGTTCCCTTCGCTGTGGTAGTTACAGTTTGCAGGAAAGTATGGACGAGAGCGTTCTGAGGACTCTTCACCAGCTTGGCCAAGTCAGGGCCAGAAAGAGGATGGAGGAGGCCAGAGGCTGGCATGGCTCCATGTCTCCACGGGCACATGTGCAGGCACACTGGCCTTTAAGATGGCAATGACAGTATGGACCAGAGCAGGGTTTGCAGCCTGTGCCCATGGAATAAGTCCTCGCTATACATGCTCTCATCTCTTGCTGAGGAACAAGATCAAGCCACCAAGAATTTGCTACCAGTTCACAGGATTCCTAACCAACAGCAAGCTTTCGTGCCTGGTGGTGGTTGAACCTGGAGGGGATCGGCTTGCCTCTCTTCTGGCTGGCTGCCTCCCTCCTTTTCTAGCTCTCTTTCCTTTCTCTCATTCTTTCTTTCCTCTCCCCTCCTTTTTCCTTCCTCCCTGTCACTTATCACCTGTGCTCCTAGACAGTGCACAGTGTACATTGCCGTTACCCTTCAGAAGCAGAAGTGTCGCAATACCGACACTTCCCTTTCCCCCAGTGTCACCTGCGTGACTATGTCTGCTGACCCAACCATATGTGAGGGTGCAGGGAGGGGGACCGGGCCTCTGGTCCCACGGTTGCCCTGGAACCCTGGAGTCTCGGCGAGAAATGGCCTTGTCATGCTTTGTCCCCTCAGACCATCCAGGAGGTGGCCGGCTACGTGCTCATTGCCTTGAACATGGCAGAGAGGATCCCACTGGACAACCTGCAGATCGTGCGCGGGAACGTGCTCTACGACAACACCTACGCCCTAGCTGTGCTGTCCAACTACGGGGGAGCCAACAGCCCCAACAAGACCGGGCTGCAGGAGCTGCCACTGAGGAGCCTGCAGGGTGAGCTGTGTTTGGGGGGACAGGCAGGGTCCCCTCAGTGGTGGGGGCCTGTATGAGCCTGTACGAGTGTATGAGCTCTGCCCGTGTGCCAGTCAGAGAGAAGCTCTTCAGAGGGGCAAGGATGAGAGCACGGGGTGGGGGCTCCAGGTCTCGGGGTGAGAGATGGCAAAGGTCTGGGTCAGCAGTGGCCAGCTGGCTGGACAGACACGGGGAGCTTATGCACATGTGAGGGAGTGAACTCAGGGACAACGCACAACAGTGTCCCCATTGTCATCAGGGACGCAGTCTCAGACCCCTGGGTGGTATCCGACCTGCACACTGTATTCTTCCCTGTGCATCTCCCAGAGAGCGTAAACTGGGCACAGTAAGAAATGGACAGCAGTGAGAGTGTTACCAGAGCAGTTCCAGCAGTCCACCAAGGTGGAAGTCCCCTGCAAATACCTTAGCGCATAGAGATAATTTCATCCATAGTTGACTATGGGTGATCAAAACTGCAGGAAGGGAAGCCACCGGGGGAAGGGGCTGCTGGATGCTAAATGCCCTGCCCACATTGGAGATGAGATGCCCAGTGGGTCTTTGCTTAGAAAATCGGAAGCAGGGATGCAGGCTTTCTGGAGAAGCCGGAACCTTCCCAGGGATAGCAGGGAGGCTCCTGTGAGAGGAAACCAGGGGTGGTGAAGAGGGAGGTGCTTTGTTTCATTTACTTTATCTGTGTGTGCTTGCATGTGTGGTGCTGTATACTGAACCCAGGGCACTCACACTGAGTTTTACATCTCCAGCCCTTGTTTTATTTTCTTGTTTTTATATCTCCAGACCTTGTTTTTATTTTGTAAATTTTGAGCCAAGGTCTCACTAAGTTGCACAGGCTGGGCTTGAACTTGCTATCCTCCCACCTCAGCCTCTCAGACAGCTGGGACTGCAGGCATGCACACTGCACCTGCCTCTCTGGGTAGTCACTGCTTGGACTTTCCCAGACCTGCCTCTGCCATGTCCTCGGCTTCTCCTCAAAGCCTGGTATAAAGCAGTGTCCATGTCCCAGGCACTCCTGCCCCTGGGTCCCAGACAGACTCTCCCTCCCCAGTGAAAACCTGCCAAGCTCTGGGGAACCAGGTCCCTAGGCACAGTGACCACCACCACCCCACCTGCCCTCCACACTCAGCCTCTGCCTGACCCAGTGAGCCCCAGAGCCGAGGGCTCCTGCGCCTGCCAGCCCTGCTATCCTGACATCTCAAACCCGCTCCTGCTCAGACCCCAGTGTAGAAGAGGACCAAGTTCTGCCCTAACCATCATCCTGCAGGGCTGCCATCTGCGGGATGTTCCTCGCACCCTGGTGTCTCCGGGGATACAGTGTGAAGAAGCACATTGGCATTTTCTGTGCTTCTAGAGGGGCTGGCAGCTGCTCACTGGCCTCTGTCCACACAGAGATCCTGCAGGGAGCTGTGCGCTTTAGCAGCAACCCCATGCTCTGCAACGTGGACACCATCCAGTGGAGGGACATCGTAGACAGCAACTTCCTGAGCAACATGTCACTGGACCTACAGAGCCACCAGAGCAGCTGTGAGTGGGCACCCAGCTAATCTCAGCTACAGCTGACTGGGGAGGGACAAAGGGCACCTGGGGTCACATCGGCCTGAGACAGAAACAAGTGATAAACCTATGGCCTGCCCACCCACAGGAGCCCTCATCGCTGAGGCAGTGCAGTTTGCCCTGGTGGCCTTGAGCAGCCTGGGTGGGGTCAGGCTGCAGGGCTGCCCCTGGTCCCATGAGGCCTGGTCCTTGACCTGGACAGCCAAGTTCTCTGTGCCCTGACCTGTACCGGCTCCCACAGTGGTGCTCAGAGCCCCCTTGGCCTCTGTCCCAGCCCCCAGGCATGGATGTCCACCCAGAACCAGGGGAGGCTGGGCAACCCAGAGGAAGCTGGCCCACATCACCCTAAGTGCCCTCCCCTCGTGCTGCCCAGATCCTGAGCAGGGCAGCCCCGTGACCAGGGCTGGGGGGACCAGGCCCTCGCCCACACCACAACCCATGGAAAATAAGATGCCACTCACATCCCCTGGCTTCTCCCCTACTGGTGCCTGGTTCCTTCCTCCCTCAGAGGAAAGGCATCGCCCTGCTTCTCCTCACCCTGCACAGGCAATGGGCTGTGCATGCCCATGTGTAGGGCCTGCACACGGAGCAGACATGAATCTTCAGAACCAGAGGCTGGGGCCTCTGGCTTCCGACCCTCAGCTCCTGTCAGTGGGCTGTGGTCAAACACAGATTTAGGCCTGCAGCTCCATGGCCTCACAGGGAGTCCATACATCCACGCAGAATCCCCTCATGCAGAACCAATGAGCAATGACCAGACCCTGCTCTGGCCTGCCCGGCCATTCCAGCACCTCCATCCTGCCTCCTTCTCTAAGAACAGGGCCCCTGGGGCTGTCAGTCCCTTGTCACTTGGCCATGCATCTGGGTTGTAACCTAATGGTGATGTTTACCTTTCAGGCCAGAAGTGTGATCCAAGCTGTCCCAACGGGAGCTGCTGGGCCCCAGGAGAGGAAAACTGCCAGAAATGTGAGTCTGGGAGCGGAGCTGCAGCCACCTTCCCTCCTATAGTGGGTTCAGGTCACTGGGTGCCCTGCCCTGTCACTGTGACACCCTCCTGTCCTGGGGCAGAGCAGGGTCTTCATGTGGCTGCCCTCCCGTGGACTTAGCAAGCACTGTGGGAACTTCCTATCACAGGCTGGATGCCACAGCCCAGGTAGCGCCACAGTGGCTGACCCCGGCAGGCCGGCCCGGGTGCCCCCAGCATAACAAGCAAGAGCCCTGCACCCAGTCCTTGCCACTGCACACAGGGCCACTGCTCCCCTGGGGCAGAGCTTTCTGCTGTCCTCATGGTCACTACGCTGCTATTGTCCTCTGCCCTGGGTGTCCATCAGCCCAGAAGTCTGCAGCGCTCTCTAGGCAGCTATTTCATGTGAGCCAGACTTTAGGAAGTTTAGTTTGCCAGAGGGTGGTTGCCAGCTCATGCACAGTGGCTAAGGGCCCTGAGGACGTCATCAGCTTCAATGCACCCTGGCTCAGGTGTGACTGTGAGGTGGCTGTGGCCTCCCTTCCTGTGTGCCTGCTTTCTGCACTGTGAGAACCAGCATGGTCTGTTTACTGCAGAGGTCTGAAAGTCTGGATTTGATCAGAGCAGTTCTCTTCAGTGTCTAAAAATAGATAGGAAAACATTCCCAAGAGGAAGGCAGGGAAGATGGTCTTGAGCCTGAGGAAGGTCATCAGGAAGGTCACAAGGAAGGTCATGGCCTTCAGGAAGGTCACGAGGAAGGCCATGACTAGGTTGAGTATGACTGAACATGAGGCCTGGAAAGTGACTCTTGAGCCACTAACTCCAGCCTGTGTGTGGTGCCTGACGCTGCCTGACTCAGCTCACTGTGCCTGCTCTTTTCCCTCTGTTTCAGTGACCAAGATCATCTGTGCCCAGCAGTGTTCCGGTCGCTGCCGTGGCAAGTCCCCCAGCGACTGCTGCCATAATCAGTGTGCGGCTGGATGCACAGGGCCCCGGGAAAGTGACTGCCTGGTGAGACCCGGCCCACCACACTGGGCTCGCTCTCATCCACTGCTCAGGGGGCCCAAACAGGGATTTCATATCTCTGTGGGCTGCGGGCTCCACACTTGGGTAGGACACCAGAAGCCCTGGACCCTCAGGGGCTGCTGAACAGGTGTTGGGTCAGCACGGGGCAGTAAAAGTCTTTCTGCCTCCAGAAAAGAAGGCTCACACTCAGCTGAGAGCCAGGGCACTATGGTTTTGAGGAAGGGCAGGGCACACCTGTGACCCCAGTGCTCTGGGAGGCTGAGGCAGGAGGACTGCAAGTTCAAACCTACCCTGGGTAATTTAGCAATTTAGCTAAACCCTGGCTCAAAAATGAAAAAGACCTGGGGATGTGATGCAGTGTGAGGGCCCTGGGTTCAATCCCAGAACAAAAAGGAGAGTGCCAAGTTCCAGAGGCTGGACTCAGCCACAGAGATTTTGACTGGGTTGGTCCAAGCTGCTTTTCCTGTGCAGCTGAAAGGAGAAGATGGTACACAGCTCCTTAGAAAGTCGCCCTATTGGTCTACCCATCTCCACAGCACTCTTCCTCCTCAAAGTTTAATAGATTTTATGGTGTGGCCTCAGACTTTGTCAGTGTAAGTTGAGTTTAAAAGTGAGGTTGCTCTATGGCTACCATTAGGAAGAGTGAGCTCTTTCCTCATGTTTAAATCAACAGAGAGACTTTTTCCCTGTCCAGACCTATAAATTATAGCAGCTGGGATTTAGGAAGATCACACCTCTAAGAGGAAAGTTTTCCTACTCCCCCGAAGCACTTTCTGGGTTTCCCTGATCGGACCCTGCAGCCCGGGCCTCCAGGACTTCCTGGGTGCTGCTGTCCCTGTCCCCCAACCAGCATGTTGCTGTCCCTCTCGACAGGTCTGCCGCAAGTTCCGTGATGAAGCCACCTGCAAGGATACCTGCCCGCTGCTCATGCTGTACAACCCCACCACCTACCAGATGGACGTTAACCCTGAGGGGAAGTACAGCTTTGGCGCCACCTGCGTGAAGAAGTGTCCCCGTGAGTCCTCAAGCGGCAGCCCCAATGCCTTGTCCTCCACGGTGGCCCTGAGCCCTGCCCTGGGCAGTCTGGGGTTCCCATGACCCTGCATGCCTGCCCCAGCTTATTCACGACACAAAGTCCTCTCGTCTGTTCAGGCGAGGATAGCAGGAGGAGATGCCTGCCACTCAGAGACCCCGTCCTCCACTCCAGGTCTGACTGCACAAAACCTCAGTCCTCTGGTCCTGGCCCATGGCCTGTTAGGAGCCAGAGTGTACAACAAGAGTGAACACAGCCTGTGACTCTTATCCTGCTGAGCTCCCTGCAATCGGGGCACAGCATTAGGTGCTCATGGGCACAGCCCCCACTGTAAGCTGCACAGGAGAGGGGGCTGGGTTGTGTGCTTCTCATGGAAACAAAGTGCACAGTAAATGTAATTCATCCTGGAGCCACCCGCCTGTCTGTGGGGAGAGAGTCATCCATGACCCGGACCTATGCCGAGAGGACGTGGCTTTGCCCAGTCACTGGGCTCCGGCCTGGCTCCAGCGGACTCCTCAGATTTGCCACGTAGCTGTGCCTCTGGGGGGCCTCAAGAAGGGCTGTTTGTGTCTTTTTGTCTGTGTTTGGGTTTTGGTTCTGCTTATTTTCATGTGTGCTTATGCCGTAAGGAAGAGTGGTCTGAACCATCCTACACAGGGAAGGCCATGAGGACAGGCGTCCTAGGAGTCCACTCTAGAGCGGGGAGTGAGAAAACCTAGAACAACCCTGAGAGGTTTTATTGTCCTGCTGGATTTGTAGATGAAAAAAACTTAACTGTACAGAGAAAGAGTCCACAAATAGAAGTCAGCCATCTTGTGGCGAGTGGCAAACAAGACAGAGAAGGCACTGCTGCAGCCTGGCACAGACAAGGCCCTGTGAGAAGGGCTCATACACAGACCTTCAAACTGGACCCTCTGCCAGCCGAGGTTTCAGAGCAGAGCAGCCACCGGCAGCCAACGGTGCTGTCAGGACCAGCAGAGGGGCTCAGGGGTCCCCAGAACCCAGGTGGCCTGCCTCTCCCAGTGTGGCTTTGCGGTACAGGGTGCCCAGGCTGTCTGCTCCACGTGCGGCTGTGGAGGGGACCCCGCAGGTGCACCATGCTATGTGGTGTCCACCCGGGCACCACAGTGTCCTCCCTGACCCTGCCGCCAGCCTTTGCATTTGTCCCTTCACACTTAGTCCTCAGGTGCATCAAGCCCAGGACTGCAGACCCCTTGCCATCCTGCAGGTAAATCGCGAGGGTGGTTGTATAGCCAGACCCTGCCCCTCTGTCTCTACAGGGAACTACGTGGTGACTGACCATGGCTCCTGCGTCCGGGCCTGCGGCCCCGACAGCTATGAGATGGAGGAAGATGGTGTCCGGAAGTGCAAGAAGTGTGAAGGCCCCTGCCGCAAAGGTAAGGACCTGTAGGCAAGTGCTGGGCCCTCCTGGCCTGCTGGGCACTCGAAGCACAGCCAGATGAATGCCCACTATTAACTAAAGATCCTACAGACGTCGTGTCTTTTTCCCCAGTACTGGGGACTGAACCCAGGGCTTCACACTGAGCCCCATCCGAGCCCCGTTCATTTTGAAACAGTGTCTTTAAGTCACTAAGTCACCCAGTCTGGGCTCGAACAAGATCTTCCTGACTCAGCCTCCCAGAGTACTGGGATTATGGGCGTGAACTGTCCATTTTTTTCTTAGGAGAAGCTGAAGTTGTGACTTGAATTCAGGGCATCAGAAAGACATTGGTTCAGGGAGTTCTGTGGCAGAGCCAGGGGACAGGAGCACAGAGACACAAGGGCCACAGTGGCCTGAGGAGAAAGGGGAGGGACAAGGGTCATCAGGGCGGTCAGCCCGCAGCTCCAGGGAACACAGGAGGGGCTGTGATGAGGACACAAAGACGTCCCCTGCTCACCCGTTGCACACCCAGAGGCTGCGGGGTCCTGGCGCCTGTGGGATCCCCCAGGGCTGCTGAGTGACCGTATGACTGCATGGAATGGGTACACACAGTGAGGGGCTCATGGCAGGAACTCTGCTCTGCTTCCCTCTGCTGCTGCGGCCTCCGTCATTCCTAACAGCCAGGTGAGTGAAGCCCAACCCCTCTCCACAGTTTGCAATGGCATAGGGATCGGGGAATTTAAAGACACACTGTCCATAAACGCCACGAACATCAAGCACTTCCAGAACTGCACAACCATCAGCGGTGACCTGCACATCCTCCCGGTGGCATTTCGGGGGTGAGTAGCGCCCGGCTCCTTCCCAGAGAAAAGCAGCCTATGCTGTCCCTGGCAGCTGGCAGGGTTGACGCCACTGTCCTTACAGGGACTCCTTCACGCGCACGCCGCCCCTGGACCCCAAGGAGCTGGACATCCTGAAGACAGTGAAGGAGATCACAGGTCTGTGCTGCCCCCACAGTCTCTGAGAGGCCAGGGTCCACAGGGAGAGCTTGACAAAGTACCTCCTCTGCACAAGAGCAGTGCTCTGAAATGCCACTCTCCGGGTTAATCCTCTGATCACTTCAAAAATGCAGTTTCCCTGCAGGCAGGGTGTGAACACTTGAGCCCAGGCCCGGGTCCCTCCCAGCCCCATGAGACGTGTCTAGTCCCTTGTTTTCCAGCCCGTACTGGCCCTCTACACCCTGGCACCGGCACTGTCGGCCACAGAGGGAGGCAGGGGAGGGGAGGGAGGGAGAGCTTCCGGCCACAGGGTGATGAGCAGCCCCTGTCTACATCCCCACAGACAGCTCATTAGACCCAGGTACTGGGCAGGGTGGGGCTGAAATTACATATTGAGGACACTTAAAATTCATTCTCATAACTGCTCCATAATGGACAGCTGCAATCAGAGCAAGAGCCTGTCCACATGACAAAATTACAGTGGCTGTTTAAATCTTAAAAGTTCATTACAGTGAAGACACATTGCCATGAATCCCCTCTATATCCACCTCTCTTCCAACACACTCACCCCATCATCCTCACCTCTCTCTGCAGCAGCTCTGGAGTCCTCTTTCCTGAGAGTCTTTAGCTGCACTGTCCCGGCTGCCCTAATGTCCTGAATGGATTCAAACATTTCCCTTTCACGGTCACTTTGACTTTGGGGAAGAGCCAGAAGTCGCACAGTGCCAGATCCAGTGACTGAGGTGGATGAGGACAGTGTCGTGTTTTGACAAGCCTGCTCTCGGTTGGAGGGTGCTTGGCTGCAGCATTCACCATACTGCTGATCACACCTCCTAAAGACACTCAGGAAAGAGGACTCTGGAGCTGCTGCAGAACGTGGGAGGATGATGGGAGGAGTGTGTTTGAAGCAAGGGGAAGTATTTTGAGGGCATCCATAACAATGTCATTTACTACAATGCATTTTATTTTAAGCTGCATACTTTGACCCTTCCACATGTGGAAGCCTTGTCTGTGAGAGGCACCAGGGCAGCATGCAGTAGGCAGTGTGGTGGCAGTGTGGACCTGTGGGAGGTCTGTGCTGTCTGGCACCAGCGTGTGCTTCCTCTGTGAAAGGACAAAAGACCCCACACCACTAATTCCCCACTCCTTCCTTCATGACGGTATCTGGAGCATCCCCAGGACGTGTCCCCTAGGAAAGAACAGTGTCCCCACACTGAGTGTCTGAGCCCTCTTCTGCCTTCCAGGGTTTTTGCTGATTCAGGCCTGGCCTGCCAACAGGACTGACCTCCACGCCTTCGAGAACCTGGAAATCATCCGTGGCAGGACAAAGCAACAGTACGTTGACTGCAGCAAGCTGGCGAGATATTTCATAGTCTCTTATTCTGAAATTAGAGTTGCAGAAGTAGTTCAAAGACTCCTGGTGTGTCATCACGGCTCCTTTTGGAACTGTCTGACACTCTCAGGTCCGGGCTCCTGGACAGAAGGGCACTGACGCATTGGCCGTTGTGTTCCACACTCACTATTTTCCATGTGTGTGTGTCTGTGCCCTCTCAGCGTCCGGCTCCAATGCTCCTGGCACTTGGCCCTAGACCTTCCCACGCACTCCACCCTGTGCTGGTGCCTGCATCTCCGAGCTCTCTGTTCTGGCCAATGTTGTCTCACCATAGAGTTGAGGCTGCACATCTTGTCAGGGGACAGAGAGATTTGTTAACACTAGATTTCTTCCTAAGATATCAACGGTTCTGATCCAGAGAGAGGGAGAGACAGAGAGAGAAGGAGAGACAGAGAAATCTTTAGGTCAAACCTGCCTTAGAAGCTGTCTGTTAGAGCACTGTCGCACACACTCCCACACTGCCCTGAAAGGACTGAGTCCTACTGTCCAGTATGACAGAAAATCAGAAGCCGAGTGTGGCAGAGACGCACTGCTTTCCATGCCATGCTGGTGGAAGGCCCTGATGCTGAACAGGAGCTGCGTCTCTTCCCAGAAAGGCTCCCAAGGTCATGCAGACACGGGGAGGGGGCACCTTAGATGACTGGTCTGTAGCACTGGTGGTATCATCGGAGTTTTAGCATGTGAGACATTCTGCTCCTGCACACTTAATGAGAAGTCCAGCGACACCAGTCCCCCACTGAGACCACCACTGGTTCTGGTTTGACTCCCCCAGGCCCCAGGTCGGCCTGTAGGGAGACCCAGCCAGCCCTTGGGCTCACATGTGCACAATGTCAGAGGTTAGGTGTTCTCAACTTCCAGCAAAAGCAGATGTAGTCTCTAAAATAATGACAGGGAGATTTACACCACCTCCCAGCTGTTCGTTCTCCCCACTGCAGGTGCAGTGCAGCCTCCACTGGGTGGGAGCATGGAGGGGCAGCTGTGCCCAGACCCCACACGGTGGGGGAGGAACGTGTCCTGTGCCGTGCACTTTGCTCAGTCCTTTCCTTCTCCCACTCAGCGGCCAGTTTTCTCTGGCCATCGTTGGCCTGAACCTGACGTCCTTAGGGCTGCGCTCCCTGAAGGAGATCAGCGATGGAGACGTGATTGTCTCTGGGAACCAACATCTGTGCTATGCCAACACCATCAACTGGAGAAAGCTGTTCGGGACTTCTGGCCAGAAAACCAAAATTATGAAAAACAGGGATGAGAAGAACTGCAGTAAGTGACCAGCATCCACTGCTCGTGCAGATGGCTTCTGTGGGTCATTGATTCCAGGTAGAACAGTGAAGGACTAAACACTTAAGTCATGTTTTCCGTTCCTAAGGAAGCGAGTTAAAATCTGCACTGTCCTAATTACGGGTTACCAGAGGATTCCCCAGAACTGTCTCCAGAGCCTTTGTTCTCATTTGTAGGATGAATTTGCCTGAGGTTTGAGATACCAATTATTTGTCATTTAAAGAACTAAGTTCAGTTATTTTCTGAGACATTTTGCCTGAAGGCTGCTCCCTGCTCCCTTCAGCCTGTGGTGACTAAGGGAGGGCGTGCACACACCCTGCACACTCGGGAATGGGTGACATGCTCCTAACATTTCTATTCCGAGCTGAGCACCTTCGGGCAGCCTTGGAAGCTGTATGCTCAGCTGGGCTGAGACCCTGTCCACTGATCTGGAGAAGCCAATTTGAGTCCAGTGCTGGTCTGTCCCTCCGAGGCTTGCAGAGTTGCCAATGTCCTGGATCTCTTAAAGCTTGGGATTCCCCATCCATGGAATGGCTTTGGTGGAGTGGGCAGGGTGGTACACTCCTGGGAGGCTTTAGTAGGAGGATCACAACTTGGAGCCCAATCAGTTTTCCAAGATCCTGCCTCAAAAGTGCGTGGGGAGAGGGATGGGAGACCTGAGCGGGGTGAGGAGGTAGGTGTGTTCCAAGGCCCTGGGTTCAGTTCCCAGTGCTGGGGGGAAAGGCCATGATAACAATTCCCTTATCAGAGTGCTGCTCAATCAAATTAAATCTGTGTGGTGCTGGGCATGGTGCCTGGCCAGAGCAGGTGACCACAAGGCATTTGTCTGTCACAGAGAAGCAGCTGGGTCTGGCCAGGGGGAGGGCCAGCCATGACCCAGTCCCACTTCTTCAGTGCCCCAGGCTGCCCAGCACTTGAACTTGGGAAGGATGTTGTCTCTTCTGCCTGGTCCATGTACTGCACCTGACCCTGCCATTCTCTGTATCTTCCAGTCACCGATGGCTTTGTCTGCCACCCTCTGTGCTCAGCTGAGGGCTGCTGGGGCCCCGAGCCCCGGGACTGCGTCTCCTGCCAGAAGGTGATCAGGGGCCGAGAGTGTGTGGACCAGTGCAACATCCTCGAGGGGTGAGACCTGCTCCTTTGTCCCACTGCCCCTGCGCCCAGGTGCAGGTCATTTGCAGGGTTGTTGAAGGTTCACAGCATTCAGACTGATCTTTCCTTTGTCTGCTATTTGCTTCAGTTTGCCTGTAAGCTACACTTTTGACAAACTGTTTGTTCATTGCTGTAGGAAACTAGCACTTTTTACTTTTTCTTACTCCAGACCAACAATTTATAGAATCTCTTTTCCTAAAAATACCTTAAATCTTTCTAGCTGGCACCAGGTTCCTGTTGCCACAGCATGGAAATCTGCTGTCCCTTGTGGCCCACTCATCTCTGTGTGTCACAGCCTGTGGCTCAGTGCTGTCTCCTGGTTGGCTCTGTGCTCTGTGCCCCCCCAAGTGTGCACCAAGTGCTGAGTGGTATGGACCACTTTGGATATAGGCAGGGACGAAGCTGGAAATCATTTGCATGACACTTGTCAAGTTGAGTCGCAATCAGTAAGAGGATAGTCTGAGGATGCTGGAAATCCCAGCAGTGATGTGAAGTTTTCCACAACTCAATTAATTGGAAAGTCGAATTGAAGGGCAGGGAGAAGAGAGGCAATTCTAAAATGTTTAAGAGAATGGTAGCTCTGATGGAGAGGAGCCTTGGAAAGGCACATGGCACTGGGAATGTCCCTTTCTGCTTTGATCCCGAATGTCCAGGAGTGGTGGGAAGGCCCCAGTCAGTGCTGTGGGAGTTGTGTGCCTGACAGCCCTCTGTGCTCTTCAGCTTGCTGCCTTGACTTCGGGGAAGAACATCAGTGTGGTCATCCGGCTCCAGATAGACAGCACGTTTTGTGTTCTCAAGTGTCCCTTAAGATATGGGGAAATGAAAATAACCGTACCAGAGGCCTGGGTCTCTGCCAGCATGGTGAATCCTGCACCCAGTGGCACTGCTTCCTCTGCAGCCTGGCCTCTTAGCAGTGACCACAAACACCACTGTCTTACTTGGTCTTGTGGATGCCATTGCCTAAAGGGAGGCTCACAACACAGGCCTTGGGTTGTAAGCATTCCTGCTCCTTGCTTGGCCTGAAGGCCTTCAGTTAATTCCCAGGCAGATTGATCTACATATTGTGAGGAAGGCTGAAAATATTACAATAAAAATTCACCTTGGTCTACACATCTTGACGAAGGCTGGAAATACTGCAAGGAAAAAAATTTCATGCCTGTATTTGACACTTACTGTTCTGAGGAATAGCCATGCACACATTTAATACCCCTTCTTCCTGTCCAGTCCTTAGTCTGCAGTAACCTCTTCTTTCCTCAACTTAAATATCTTGAGTCTGTTATTAGAGGGAGGGGACACCTGGTGAGGGCTTTTTGTCCTTTTTGTCTTGCTTGCCCAATATACAGAAACTGTGCCACAGAAAATGCAGGGAGGTGTTAGAAAGCTCACCTGTTGGTTCCCGGGCCAGCTGAGCAAGGATTCAGTTAATAAAACTGCATCGTGCTACAGTGCAGTCCTCAAGTCCCAGCTCTTCGACCTTTCCCTGAAGTGGTTTTGAATTTCTGAATGAGGCGATCGTGTTCCCTGACACTCACCTGCCTGGTCTGAAAGGGCCAGCATGACAGTGCCCCTCTCTCTCCACAGGGAGCCCCGAGAGTTCATGGAGAATTCTGAGTGCATTCAGTGCCACCCGGAGTGCCTGCCTCAAACCATGAACGTGACCTGCACTGGCCGGGTAAGGAGCCCCGCTGCTCCACGCCGGATGTGGATAAAATGGCGGAGACAGGGCTGTGTCCAGCCGGGACAGAGCAGCACATCTGGTCACCTCGTGCCCAAGGCCGATGGCTCTCCTGTCCCCCCGACCCTGGCCAGTTCCCATTCTGACTGCGATCGCTTCCCACATCCAACACCATCCAGTTCTTACTTAGCCCCATCTAAATTAGCGGGACTCTCAGGAGACCCTTGCCCAAGCCTGTTTCAGACTCAGTTTCATTTCTACGCATTCAGAGTAGGCTGTGTGAGGACCACGAGTGTGAGCTTAGGTCTCTGCACTGGCAGCTGTGTTCTTACTTCTCCACATCAGATGTCAGGCTGTTTGGATCCCATACCTGAATCTACCAGTGTCGCACCTCAAGCAGGGTAATGGCTGCGTCTAGAGGGCTAGGCTGCCACCATGGCTGGCTAAAGGAAACCACTGGTCTGTAGGTTTGCAAGGTGCTAGGCTACATTTTCATCATTATGGTAATATTGCTAATACAATGTCTCTAGCCACTCTGGTCTGAGGACACAGCCTTTGAGTGGTGGCCTTGCTCACTATCAGGGCT